ATATAATATATATAATATATATATATATATTATATATATTATATTATATTATATTATATATAATATATATAACAATAAAGGTTATTAAAAAATAATCAGACAGAACAGGATTCTGATTTAAAGACGGGGTGAGAAATTCAGTTATCCGAGTAGAACCGCTGCTCCTCCACATCAAATGGAGTCAGTTGAGGTGGTTTGGGCATCTGCTAAGGATGCTCCCTGGACGCCTCCTTAGGGAGGCGCTTCAGGACTGGGAGGAGACCCAGGAGAAGACCGCCTTGGAGTCCTCCCAGAAGAGCTGGAAGAAGCTGTGGAAAGAGATGTTTGGACCTCCCCTCTCAAGATGCTGCTCCTGTGACCCGAATTTGGAACCAGTGGAAGATGATGGATGGATGGATGGATGGATGGATGGATAAGTTCACATCAAAAGAAAATTGTTAGATTTAAACGGTGTGAAATGACAAATCTTTCCGTCAGAGACGTGATCTGGTTATTTTGATGATCTTTGACTGGATGATACCACTCATTCCTGACGGAGTTCATTTCAGTCAAACTGGACTTTAAATCCTAAATTAAATAACCATAATAACTGTGGTCCTCCTGTCTCCTGGAATCTGACCTTTAGTTTGACCTCTAGATGAGTCCAGCGCCCACCTCGGGCCACGGCGGGAACTGCAGGATGTTGCAGCAGGTGGCGGTGGTCGGTGCCGGGGCATCCGGACTCTGTGCGGCCCGACACATCCTGTCCCGTCCCAGCAGCTTTTCCTCCCCGGTGGTGTTCGAGCTCAGCGACCACATCGGTGGTACCTGGTGTTACGATGAGCGAGTGGGAGCGCTCTCTGACGAGCGCCCGGTGCTCAGCAGCATGTACAGAGACCTCAGGTAAGTTTACCTGTCAGGGAGGAGGAGAGTCTAATTCTGTTTCTACCTCTGTGACAACTTTGATCCTTCAGTTTCTCTCTGAGGTTCTTTTGTGTTCTCGTGTTTCGTTTGGTCCAAGTTCTGAGGCGACTGTTTTCCAACAGAACTAACCTGCCCAAAGAGGTGATGATGTTTCCCGACTTCCCATTTTACCCCCAGCTGAGCAGCTTCCTCCCCCATCACGAGGTCCAGAGGTACCTGGAGAGATACTGTGAGAACTTCCAGATCCGTCCCCATGTCCGGGTGAGTCTGCAGAGTCTTTCAGTCCTGTTCAGTCCCTTACCGCTCATCATGTCTCTTCTTTCCTACTCATCAGTTCAACACTGTGGTGAGAAACGTGACGCCCATCGTCACGGCAACAGAGGGCGAGGAGAGGAAGGTCACGTGGGAAGTGACATCATCAGACTCGTCAGGCAGTCAGAAAACGGAGAACTTCGACTCGGTGTTCATCTGCTCGGGGTGAGAAGGTCTCGGGTCGAAATTACATTTTATCCGTTTATTTCAAACTGAGGATGCGACTTCCTGTTTCCTCGTGGGGACATTTTTTCCCCTCGTGACCTCGTCCGTTTCTCCTCGCGAACCCGTCTGTGTCCCCTAGCGGACCCATCTGTGTCCCCTCGCAGACCCGCCTGTTTCCCCTCGCGGACCCGTCTGTGTCCCCTCGCGGAC